TAGTGCTGAGGCAGAACACAAGGCTATGGCTAATAGAAGATGTGAGATGTCATGGTTGAAAAAAATTATTGAAGAACTGCAAATCTCGATAAGTATACCCATGATTATAATGTAATATAAAGCAACTGTAAGCATTGCAGAAAATACATCGCAATATGATCGCAGAAAATATATGGAGATTGCAAGTATTTGCATGTCGTTTATCCCTTCTAGTCAACAAAGAGCAGATATCTTCACCAAAGAACTGTTCAGACATAATTTTGAACGTCTTGTAACAAAGTTGAGCATGTAGATATCGATACTCCAACTTGAGGGGGGTGTTAGAATTTTTAAGAAGATTTTAATTTTAGTATATTCTTTAGAATGTAGTATAATTGGTATGTTATAATTCTTATTCATTTTTTTAGCATAGGGAGTTATAGCATTATTTATAGTTTTCCAAATGTGAGAATCTTCTCACTCTATTTATCTTGTAATCGTTCCCTATGAAATTGAGGAATAATTATTTTTCCCATCCCAAAACCTACTGAAGGCTAACATGTAAAAATTATACAGACTAAGTGATGTACAACATTTCAACTGGTATGCTACTTTTTAAATGAAATATTGTAAAAAATATGAGATGGGCGACCTGCTAAGCAATCTATAGAAGCAAATGCATCCAGGTAGAGGAAAAGTTGGTGATGATTCTGGTTGGCATACGATAGTCAACAACATGTGAAAGTAGCAAAGCAGATACGGTATGCTTGTAGGACCCTATGCCTCTTCCTCAGGTTGTGAAAAGACAATATAAAGCCTTACACAACAGCGCACTCTCTATCCCACTCCACCACCTTCATTCAATTCCCCTTATTAGACCGACTTGACCCATAAGGCTATATTCTTCCCAAATATGTTGTTGATTCCAAATCAGAATTAATTGCATGCCGCACATAATTCTAATAACAATGTCATTGTTAGGTCCCGAGCCCCAGATGCAAAAAAATGAAAGGTTGTATTAGGTAGTTGACAACCAACATGACATTTATCGAAATCATGACATGAATCCTTCAAATCGTTTTGTAAAAGCTAGGGAATCTTCTGAAAGCGATGCGTTGTATGGTCTAAATACAGTGAAAAGTTTGTAAGGGCCGCTACACCGGTGCTCGGGTGTGGTGTTAAATAAGCAAGGGTTCTCACATTGTGGAAGGATGCGAGTAAATTAGTTACTTCATAAAACTAATATTAGTATAGGAATATATAATATAGACACTCTTACAGATAAATTAATAGAATTAGTTGAAATTATGGTTCATAGAAAGATAAATATTTTATGTATTCAAAAAACTAAATGGGCTCGAGAAAAAAGCTAAGAAGATTGATAGTATTTGTTTAAGATTTGATATTCAAGGAGTTGCACTACAAATAGTGTAGGTGTAATTATTAATAAGAGTTTGAAAGATAATATTGTAAAAATTAATGAATTGGAGATAGAATTATAGCCCTATAAATTTTGTTGATACTAAAATTTTTAATGTTATAAGTGTTTATGCTCCTCAAACAAGTTTAAGCATAAGTTCAAAAGTAAAATCCTGAGATGACCTAGAAAAATTAATAGAAATGATACTTCTTGAAGAAAATTCTTTTTATTAGAGAAGATTTAAATGGGCATTTTGGTAGAGTGATGGAAGATTTTAAAAAATTCATGGTGGTTATGATTTCTGTGTAATTAATCAAGAAGGTTAAATCATATTAGATTTTGTTTTGGCATATGATTTTTGCTATTACTAATATTTTATTTAAAAAAAGAAATGAACATAGTATGACTTAAAAAAATGAATCTAATAAAACATATATTATTTATTTTTTATGAGAAAAAGAAAACATCGGAAGTGTAAAAATTGCAAGATAATTCCAAGTTAAAATATAAAAGCTCAACCCCGATTATTAATTTTGGAATTTAAGTTGAATAGTTTAAGATAAAAAATACAAGAAACCATTATCATATAATTAGATGGAGGCATATAAAAGATATAAACAAAATTATTTTTATGAGTAAACTCCAAGATTTCGAGATTTGGGATGTTCTTAAAAAAACTATTTTTATGAGTAAACTCCAAGATTTCAAGATTTGGGATGTTCTTAAAAAAATGAAATCTATGTGGCATAAAGTAATAAGCACTATTAAACAAGTCACAAAAGATGTACTTGAAAAATTAAAAAGAAACGTGTTTATAAATAAAAAAATAAGCACTATTAAACAAGTCACAAAAGATGTACTTAAAAAATAAAAAAGAAACGTGTTTTTATAAATAAAAAAAATTGGTAGTGGAATAATAATGTCTAATAAAAAATAAAAGAGAACAAATTGTGCTATAAAAATTGATTTAAATACATAAATTTGAAAAATTAGAAAAAATATAAAATGACCCGTAAAGAGTAAGAATAATGTGTGACGCTAAAAATTGTCCTTCATGGTCTTATATAAAATTAGATACTAAATATGGTGAAAAATATATGTATAAACAAGTCAAATAAAGAGAAAAGAAAAATAAAGATTTAATTCAAGTAAAGTGTATTAAAGATGTAAATCAAAAAACACATTTCTGAGAGAAAGATATTCAATATAGACATATAGGTTATTTTGATAAATTTTTCAAAGAAGTTTCTAAAACTAGGATCGACTTTAGTGATATTAATATCATTACTAATAATGAAAAGTTTTATTTCCATCGTCGTATTAGTAATAAAAAAAGTTAAGGAAGCTTTAATGAAAACCAATGGTGGAGAATCAGTAGGATCTGATGATATATCCATTGAAATATGAAAGATATTTAGGAGATTTGGGAGTTTTCTTGGCTTACTAAACTCTTTAATATTATTTTAAAAACTAAAAAGATGTCTAATGAGTGAAGGAAGAGTATTTTGGTCCTCATTTTTAAAAATAAATGAGATGCACAAGAGTGCAAGTTATAGAGGAATTAAGTTGGTGTGTCATATCTTAAAATTATGGGAGAGAATATTTAAACACAGGTTAAGACGTGATACAAAAAATTCTCATAACTGGTTCGGGTTTATGCCGAGCAGTTCGGATTCTGCTATACAGCTATTGAGATGTTTGATGAAGAATTACATAGAGAAAACGAGGATCAAGGATCAACATTTGATTTTTATTGACTTAGAAAAAGCTTACGATAAGGTTCCAAGAGAAGTTCTTTGGCGAGTTCTAGAGAAGAAAGGTGTTGATGTGACTTATATTGAAGCCATTAAAGATATGTATTCTAAAGCTATTACTTGTGTTCTAACAAAAGGAGGATTGACCAACTATTTTCCTATTTCAGTTGGATTACATCAGGGATCAGCATTAAGCTCATATCTTATTGCTCAAAGTTATGGATGCTCATACTAGACATTTACAGAAGGATGATTGGTGTATGCTTTTGCTAATGATATCCTTCTTGTAGATAAGACTACAGAAAGAGTTAAGGAAAAAATTTGAATTATAGAGGTCTACATTGGAGTTTAAAGACCTTCAGTTGAGTGGATCTAAAAAAAAATACATGGAATGTAATTTTAGTAGTAGTAGCTCTAGCGACAAAATTGTAACTACGGGTGATCAAATCTTTAAATGGTGTGATCGTTTTGGATATCTCAGGTCTATTGTTCAAAGTGATGGTGGTATAGATGGGGATGTTATTAGTAGAATTCAAATAGGTTGGTTAAAGTGGAGGAATGCATCATGCCTATTGTGTGATAGAAAAGTATTGCTTAGATAGAAAGGAAAATTTTATAAGATGGTGGTGAGACCTATAATGCTCTATGGTACAAAATGTTAGCCTTTAAAAGAGAAGCATGAAACAAAGTTAGGTGTTGCTGAGATGAAAATACTTAGGTGGATGAGTGGCTTGACACTAAGAGAGTGTGAAATGAATAAAATGAAAATGCTTAGGTGGATGAGTGGCTTGACACTAAGAGACAGTGTGAAATGAATATGTGAAATGAATAAATCTGTGCTAGTGTTGGTGTAGCTCAAGTGACGAACAAGATTAGAGAGAGTCGTCCGAGACAGTTTGGTCACATTAAACTTCGACCATGTGATAATCTTATTAGGAGAGTAGATTATTAGATTTCACTTGAATTAAGAAAGGCAGAAGTAGACCTAAAAAGACTTGGACTTATTGTATAAAAAATAATCTTAATCTAAAAAAATTAAATGAAACTATGACACTCAAAAGGATGCAAAGGAGGAAATAGATTCGTTTAGCCGACCACACTTGGTGGGGTAAGGGCTTGTTGTTGTTATTGTTGTAGCACATAATGTTAATGACCCAACCAGGCCTAAATAATATCTCAGGTAACCAGATCTTGGACTAGTGCACAGGCTCAACTAGGCATGCACAACCAAAATGTTGACTAAGGTTAGACTCATGGAGATTTAAAAATAGCCTCACACAAATGCGAGAAGTGATGATTCTTTCCTTTTGTTAAGAGATGAGTAAGGAGGACAGGAGCACATTTCGTGATAAATTAGAAGGTGCATTCAACTACAATGAAGCAGCGGCACAATTTTCTGTCTAAACAACAGACCAACGGTGACTAATAAAATGGCATTTAATAAATTCAATGATAAAAAGAACTACTTCAAGCAACTATATATTTCAAAATCTGTAGCTTCTCTCACACATCAACTTCTCTCAACATTTGTCAATGGACCAATTTCAATGGGATGTCACGAACACGTGGAAATAAATACACCAAAAAAGTTCAGAAGATGTTGATGTACCACAGTTTGTATCAAATAATATAAAGTAATCTTAAGTTTAATGTGGAACATTGAAACAAAAACCGTAGAAGAGGAGACTTTGTCAAACTTGTCAAATCCTCATTTTTGCTAACAAAAGTGGAGAAAAAAAGGTTCATAATTCTTTTCAGGTCCACTAAAATTCATCTGCTGGATGAGACTAAAACTTAAACTAAAGAAGCAATTTAATCCTGGAGTGCGGATCAGATATACTACTTACATTGCATTAGGCAACATGACACCATTGTCAAGACTGGGCATCACTTGGAAATAGAAGAAACCAGTTAAATATAAGGCATAAGTCGCCACTTTACCCAGCAGTAAGAGCACATTTGTTGCCTTCCTGAACATTATTTTTTTATTTCCAACTTAGAATGTGTGGTATCATTCCATATCATCTTGATATGATTATAGAATTTTCAGGCCATGACTAATAAAATGGTTAGTAGCAGCTAAATACCTCCGCATATGTTTGTGAAGGTCCCAATGCAAAAATCTCAGACGACTTTCTTCTGAGAGATCTTTATTTAAGAAATCAATTGCATTTACGAATTCTGCTCTAAGGATAGATTCTCTTGGCTTCTTCTCGAGCGTCTATTTAGATTACCAAAAGTAAGACTAAAACCGATAGGTCACATAAAATAAAGTCAAATGAAAACCAGCAATTTATATGCACAATTGTCGATATAACATGTTACACAAACAAAAATAAAAGGATCACAGACAAAGTCGTATACCTTAATTAAGTTTAAGATAATAATTGGGTTTCCGTATCTATTCACAAGATTCTCAAAATGAAGCCGGGTAGCTTCATAATCTTTGTCCTTTTTCCGCACTGAAGAAAAGAAAATAAAAGGTCATACTAAGAGCAAACCTTTTTTTCAATTTGTACTTCAACATGCAAATAAGAACGTCAAAAACTCACAAACAATGTCAGGCTTCATGTTCAACTTTGATGTCTCCTGGGACCAAAAGAGGGGTATGGAACCCCTATTTTGTACTATAGAACTTATCTGCGTAGGATTTTCTCCAGGAACATCTGCAAACACAATCTGCTCTGTCTCTACATCATTCGCAACACTACCCTCATCATTAACACCACGCTTTAGGTATCTGTTCCATTAAAAAATTATATTTTTTTAAAATAAAAGTTAAAGAGAGAATGTACATTATTCTTGCATGACAAATACTAGCCAACTGTCCAGCCTAATTTCAACTATGTGATATCTATCATTTCAAATCTACAATGGATGTGGAAGATAAATGATTGATAAGAACCTCGTTCCAGCATAATGGCGGGATCGCCTGGCAATGAGTGTCAACCAAAAATCTTTCCCAGATATTGATAGCTTAGCCTGGGATCAACAAATTCATCTTATCAGAACATTAGACAGATATGCTAAATGGTTGGCAATGACATATCACTGACTCTCAGTATAATGTCAAGCCGATTAAAACATAAGCATCAACAGTGAATCTGCCACCACATTGACAACTTAAGATAATGTTTCCACAACAAACCATGAATTCAAAAGCAACTCAAATTTAAAAAAAAAAAGAACAGAACTTCATTAGCTTTACTAAAATAAAATTGGACAAATTCAAACAGATTAGTATTGTCGCAGAAAAAATAATGTGAAGACTATATTGCTTGGATATTGTGCAAAACAGGCAGGTTTGCACATATACTCTCCAGCTGGTAGCAACCACGTTTCAAATTGTACAATCAAAATTAGAAATGCACTTTATGCTCTCCAAATTAAGAACTATCAAAAAGAAATCAACTTTCACTAGTTAAAAAAAATTAAAATAAAATTAGTCCAGTATCAACCTTTTAGAATCTTACCTGAGTGAAAAAACCATAAACTAAAGCAACTGTCCAAGCAGAGTTTTTTAGATGATTGTGAATTCCTTTTGTCAGGAATTCATTCCAGACAAACATAGTTTCATACAAAAGGTGTCCTGCCTTAGCATCACATAAATTCTTCTGAATACTTTGCATCACGTGGTATGAGTAGCTGAAAAAGAAGTCCTTTGTGAGATCCACGGTACGCAACAGCTTCTTGTATCTACAGCATCATTAGAAGAAAAGAAAGATAAAGCAATGCCCAAAAAAGAAAAGAACAAAGGCCTCACAAAACAAAATTAAATAAAATTACCGGAGATATAGAATAATAATAATAATAAAATTGTGACATGAGAAGGAAGGAACAACAGACACTCTAAAGATTTGACTCCAATATCTCAAATAACTGCTATTCAATTGCTTTAATAATTCAAATCACTTGTATAACACAAAGAAAAATAAGTAAAGCAACCTGAGTGAATATGGTTATGTGGCATCAGAGTAGACGCACTGAAAAACTGCCATCGAGTAAACTTTAACATGAATCACTAGCCAAGGAAGCATTACAGGTGATGCCTCCCCTTGCCAAAGCAATCAGTTAGGGTGCCCTCAATGATAAAATGAAAAATTCAAATATCTACATAAGCTCTACATAAGACGATGTTATGGAAACACTGCACATAATCAATTTTAAAAATGAAATGGCTAGGAAAGATTGTACTGCTCGTTTTTTCAAGGAGTATTTATATACAAGTTTACCTAAAAAAAAAAGAAAATAGATAGTAAAAATAAAAAACATAAAAAATTGCCTCAAGTTATCATCTGACTTGATCTATTTATAAAATGCTGATTGATGTCAAGTAAGTGATCAATGAGCTTTTTCTTTCTTTTTTTTAAAACATATGAATCCATAGGTAGGTGGCAGTTAGAATTGCTTCCCACCATTATCTTTTTGAAATTTAATTTTGGAAAGAAAAAAGAGACCTAATGACTTCTAGAAGGTTTCAATGTTTCCTTTTTTGCCAGACCATTTTGTTGGGGGTCTCAGGATAAAATGAATAATGGATTAAACCTTCTTCATTGAAAAAAGAAGTCTGATTAAAATAATAACGAATATAATCTTTGTAGAATATTTCGATGTTAACATTAAATTGATTTTTTATCATAGTAATAAAAGTAAATAAAAAAAAGTTAATATTATTTTTTTATTTAATAAGATATACCTGTGTCACTCGAGTGCAATCATAATAAATATAATAAGTTCTATAGCACCAAATATATTGGGGATTTCTTAAGATTCCAAAATATTGGAATGAACAAAAATAAAATTAGTATAGGATCTGGAATCATTTTTAGGAAAGGAAATATCATCGTATTTTATAATTCTACAAATCCCACAATGAAATCTTCAATTTTACTATTTATAAAAAGAGTAAAAAAACGTACATTAAAAAATTTTAAAAGAAGAATGCCCTAACATATAATGGAATTCCCAAATGATTTCTGTACTGAGAATGATCATAAAGGAACATAACAAATTATATTTCTTAAAGATGGCATGGCCATCATAATGAAGGATCAGGATCTCACAAACTCCTGTGCATGCAGGATTGAACGAATGGTATTTTTGCCCTGTAAAATTTTTGTAGCAAGATTTTCCCACCAATTTGCTGCACTTGATATCAAAGGGCAGCAAACCGTATACTCTATGGATTTATTTTTCTTTTCCCTGGTCTTAAACCTAAAATTCACATAAAAGTAATATGATCTCTTCACCAAAAATTATCCATAACCACAAACCTATCCCCAACCCACCACTTTTTTGTCAGCCAAAATCCTAATTGGGATAAAAGTCACACCATGTCGACGAGATGAAACATTCAAAGAGATTTCCAAGAGCTCATAATGGAAGACAACCAAAAACAGATCCTTCAACTACAACAAAGGCTCATCGCTTTTGAGAAAAGACAATCCAAAGAAGTCACCCATAACCATATTAGTAACTCATCGAATTGAGAGGACCAAGTCAACCCATGATACCAAAAGTTTCTAGGGATAAAGAACCAATGCGCATGAGGAGATACAACAACAGTTAGCATCAACAGCAATAGGAACAACAACAACAAGCCTTTATCCCACCAAGTGGGGTTGGCTACATGAATCCTTTTTCTCCATTGTGTCCTATTGAGTGTCATATTTCTATTTAATTCTAATAAATTGAGATCCATTTTTATACAATAAGCCCAAGCCTTTCAAGGTCCACTTCTGTCTTTCTTAACATAAGTCAAATCTAAACCATTTAAAACGACTCTCTCTAATTTTTTTCCGCCACCGGAGCTACACCAAACCTATCGCGGATATAATCATTTCGCATATTCTCTAAGTGTAAAACCACTGATCAACCAGAGCATTCTCATCTCGGCAACACGCTCATCTCGGCAACACGCTCGGCAACACGTAACTTAGTTTTATGCTTATCTTTTAAAGGCCAACATTCAACGCCATAGAGCATTGCAAGTCTCACAACCACCTTAAAAAATTTTCCTTTCAATCTAAGAGGTACTTCTATCACACAATAGGCCCGAAGCATTCCTCCAGTTCAACCAACCAACTTGAATTCTACTCAAATGAAGGGCGCATTCCTCCAGTTCAACCAACCAACTTGAATTTTAGTAAAAACAACCATATCTATATCACCATCACTTTGAACAATAGACCGAACATATTTAAAGCGTTCACACCTTTTAATAATTTGATCATCAATAGTTACAACTCCGTCACTAGAACTACTAATACTAAAATTACATTCCATGTATTCAGTTTTAGTTCTACTCAAATGAAGGTATTTGGTCTTCAATGTAGAACTCCATAATTTAAGTTTTTCCTGAGCTTATCTCTCATCTTATCCACAAGAAGGATATCATCAGTAAAAAGCATAAACCAAGGTACATCCTTATGTAAATGTCTAGAAAGAGCATCCATAAATAAAGCAAAAAGATATAAGCTTAAAGCCGATCCCTGATGTAATCCAACTAAAATAGGAAAATATTTGGTCAATCCTCCTTCTGTTCGAACAAAAGTAACTACTCTAGTATACATATTTTTAATGACCTAAATCTAGGCCATATCAACACCTTTCTTCTCTAGAACCCTATAAAAGATATTTCTTGGAACCTTATCGTATGTTTTTTTCTAAATTAATAAAAATCATATGTAGATTCTCCTTATTCTCTTTGTACTTCTCCATCAAACCTCTCGATAAATATATAACTTCCATAGTAGATCTGTCTAGCATAAATCCAAACTAATTATGAGAATTCTTTTAACTACATGTTAACCTATGTTCAATTACACTCTCCCATAATTTTAAAGTACGACGCATTAACTTAATTCCTTTATACTTTGCAAACTCTTATTCATCCCCTTTATTCTTAAAAATGGAGATCAAAATATTATTTCTCCACTCAGGAATCTTTTTAGTTTTTGAAATAATATTAAAGAGCTTAATAAGCCAAGAAACTCCCAAATCTCCCAAATATTTCCAAAATTCAATTGGGATACCATCAATTTCTACAGGTTTTCAACCCTTAATTTTCTTTAAAGCTTTCTTAACTTCTTTTTTACTAATGCGACGGTAAAAATGAAATACTTTATTATTATTAACGATATTAAGATCACTAAAGTCAAACGTATTTTCAAAAATTTAATTGAAAAGTTTATCAAAATAACTCACTCACCTAAGTTGAATATCTTTTTCTAAGAAAAACACTTTTAATTTCATCTTTAATACAATTTACTTGAGTTAAATCTTTATTTTTCTTTACCCTTTATTTTGCTAGTTTATACATATATTTTTAACCCTCTTTAACATCTAATTTATTATAAAGATCACTAAAAGCAAAATTTTTAGCGTCACAGATTGCTCTCTTAAACTCCCTACGGACCATTTTATATTTTTCTCAGTTCTTTAAGTTTTTACATTTAAAACATTTTTTATAACATAACTTCTTATATTTTATCTTTTCTTGCACATTATTATTCTATCACCAACTATTTTTATTAATAAAAATTTTTCTTTTGATTCTCCAAGTACATCTCTTGTCACTTATTTAATAGTGTTTTTTTTTTATTTTATCCCACATAGAATTTGCTTCTTCATAAACATCACAAATGTTGAAATCCTGAAGTTCACTAATAAAAATAATTTTATTTGTGTCATTTAGGCATCCTTATCTAATTCTATAACAATGATTTTTAGTATTCTTTATTTTACAACTCCTTATCTTAAAATTCAGAACTAATACTCAATGTTGAGTACTTAAATCCTCACTTGGAATGATCTTAGAATCTTTACATTCTCGACGATCTCTTCTTCTCATAAGAAAATAATCAATTTGTATTTTATTAGATCCATTCTTATAAGTAATAATATGCTCATCATTTTTTTTTTAATAAAGTATTAGCAAAAAAAATCATACACTAAAACAAAATCTAATATGGCTCTACCTTTTTTATTAATCACACCAGAGAAAATGCAATGACTTAATTACGGTGGACAAGCCAAATTTTGATGAACATCTAAATTCAAATAAATTTATTGAAAGGCTACATTTATACAAAAATGTTCCTTAGAAAAAAGTCAATTTGATACTTATCAAACTTAGGAAGAACACATGATTATTGTGGGTATCACGACTCGGTCTAGGGCTTGAAATTAATCAAGGTTGGAATAGACGGTCAGACGGTAAAATTAAATATTTTATTATTTATTTTCTACACTAACAGTTTATAATCAAAACAAATTGAAATAGTCGCTAAATAAAATAATTTAAGTGGCCAAATAAAAGTTTATCTTTCATGTTTCTAACATCGCTTCCTATACACATTATTTTATTTATTTTCTACAATAACAGTTTATAATCAAAATAAATTGAAGAGTTGCTAAATAAAAAATTTAAGTGACTAAATAAAAGTTTATCTTTCATGTTTCTAACCTCGCTTTCTTTACACATTATCTTCTCTAGCATTTATCTTATACTAAAAAATTTAAACTTGAAAAATATTAAAACAACATGAGTTATGAAAGATAACTTAGTGTAGTAATCACATGACGTGGGGTGTGGGGTGTGGGGTGTGGGGCGTCAAAAGCATAGCAAAAACTACACACAAAAATAGTCGCACGACTCTCATCCTGCATTGAATAGGTCAAGTCTCTGGGAGATT